CAAATAGGAAATATCTTACCTTTCCTTCAGATGGCCGTGGGCAAACTTAAATATCAAAATTTAAGTACATATTTTTGTCATCTTGTCATTTTGACGATGAAAACAAGTTGAAAAGAAATACTTCCGGATCGGTACTAAACTAAATGAGCAATTTCTCAGTTAGCATGATGTTTATTATCCCAACCAGGTGCAGAAGAGTAGGGCGTAAAACTCTTTATTTTAATTTCTGTTATTGTATGAAGGAATAGGATGTGATCGCTTTTATATAATATGAAATCTTTTACTGTTATTTCACTAAAATAGCACGAGAGCCAGACAAGTCGTACATCTACTAATTTCTCGGAAACTATCTAGCGTCCTTCTGGTCTCATTTGTTTCTTATGTAATCTGTCTTGACATTTTAGGAATTGGAATTAAAACATGAAACACGAGGACATTGCGTGTTTTTCTTGTAACGTTTGCATAATGCCTTCATAGAATCAAGCATGATTGAAATGATGGAACACTTTGGACTGGAATGATATTTTTTTATAAATAAATTTTCAAATCAATAAAATATTTCAAATATGTACTTTTCTTGACCAAAATTTCGTAAACAAACATTTGAAACTACTAATGCTGTTCTAAATAGTTATCAATCCGTTGTCATTTTGCATAAATTTATATATAAATGAAACTGGTGCAGAACACAATGACACGGTAAAGATAAAATATCTCTAATATAATTGTCATGTTTCTATTTAGTTTGATATCCTTAACTAATTCCCGATCATTACTATCTAGTCAATCTTATTAGAAATCAAAGATTATCGTTTACGTCTTAAGAATAGAAATTTTAATAGAGTCAAAGCTTCCATGTGATCTATCATACCTACTGACGGTTACTATCATTTTATACTTAAAGCTACATTCTATCAGAGACGATATCGATATTGATATGAGTTATGGTTCTAAGGAAATGGACAGATCGTAGATAGGACTAGTACAAACTTTTGACTATCATTTGAACAATTTTACTTTGACGTACGATGTGCTCAGTAACGGTAAAAAAATGGCAAGAAAATTTATAAACATCTAATTAAGACCAAATCGCTTGCTATTGTACTTTTCCTTGTCTGGGTTAAAATTCAACCTTTGTTCTTTGTTTACTATGAAAATCAACCTAGTCGCATTGTTATCATGACCCAATCAGATGCTGATCAGTTTTGTCCATTGTGACTTTGTTACAATATTTGTCAGTTGATAGTTTCATTTAATAGTTTTTCTAATACCAACTATTCTCAAGTGAATTATTTAAAGGACATATATTGACTTTAATCAATGCATTATTATCAATCTATTGTGTAGATTAACACTCTCACGGCCGCAGAGACTAAAAAATCTCTTTTAAGACAAGTTAATTTGTTTTCTATCTTTATGAGTATGAATACCATTGAAAGTGATATCTCATTCTCGAATTGACAAATAATTATATCTTAAACACTGATATTGAATTCTAATTAATATCTCCTTCATTGCAAAAGTGAAAAATTGCGTTAGTATTGTGATTGAGTGAGTGTTTCTATTGGTAGTTGTATTGATTCAAGGTAGTTATTGTGTAAATTACCTTCTGAAGCAGGTAATCGTTTAAATTATATTGTAATTTGAAGGTACCTCACTGTAAACAATCGTTATATGACTAGTGTCTATTAGATTAGTGAATGCCTAGTAAGAGAGTATAGAGTTATGTTGTATGATATTACAGTTATACAGGTCAGTCATTATTCTTAGTAGTTAAAACTACTTTCGTTTTATTCTAGGCATATATTATCGGTTTCTAAAAATTTCGACGATTTATCATAAAACGAAGCTTTTTAGTATTTGTTGAGGAGTTCTTTACCTTGCAATTTCAGTTGATGTATTTATGTTTTGTTGCTGGCGTAATTCAGAAAACTAATAATCTTTTATATTTATAATATTACATATCAGACTTTCCCCATCTTTAATTTATTTCTGTTTAAGAGACGCCGTTTTGAATCATCCTATTATAATTTTTAAATATCATTAAACTAAACACCGTCTAGTGACAAGAACTTATCTGATTTATACAGTCATAAAGTCTTGAATTAGTTTCCCTTTCCTTTATATTTGTAGTCGTTGTGTAAAATTATTGTGTATTGTATATCATATGTATTATTTATTTGTGGTCTTAACTATTTGCCCTATTTTATGTTAAAAAATTGAATATTCAAATTGTAATGATATTTTAATGACTGTTCGATACACGGGAAGCAAGTATTTCATTATCTATGCGTAATGCGAGCAGGTGCTTGTTTCAATGCATTTTCTATCAATTAATTTAGTCCGTTTAGTTCCCTGAATTAATCATATAAATGATAGACAATAAATATGTATCATATTTCATTGTATTCTTTAGAGTATCTACAGGATTTCACATGCTCTTCTTTATATTGCCAATATTTTAAATGTATATTCAATGACGTCACAATGACGTTTGATGATTTGCTATGTAGGTGTGAAGAGTTAAAATATGATGAAGAATCACGTTCTTCATGTCTACTGTGTCTCTTATACCTGGCTTTACACTCAAATTAACCAAGTTAAATCACTTCCATTTCACTTAGAATACAAAGACCTCTACTCTATTGAAGGAGATAGAATATTGAGGGTATTGTTATATTTTTGTCAATATCACGCAGAAAGTGTAACATATGTAGAGAGGTCGTGTGAGTTAGATTGTACCAAACAGATACAATATTATATTCATCATGAAAACACTGGTATTTAATGTTTTATCACCGCTAATCATCTCCTATCCTTTCTTTATACACCTGTTAATACGTTGATTTTTATCTATTGATTTTATCATAGAGCATATTATATGCATGTATTAGATATATGATGTGGAATCAATATTTTCAATGAGCAATGATGTCCACGTTAAGGCTGCGTCAGTAATGATAGGTCTACTGTCCACTGTTCAAGCCTCTAACATGACTTGAATATTGATTGATTAACAAGATTTGTAAGGAACCCAAGGTGATAAAGCATACTTAGTGTGACGTCATCAAACACTTTTAGTGGAATTGCAGGAACCACAGACTTCTGATTGAAAATTGGAATGGTACAAATTGATGCTATCAGAGTCCCCGATACATGTAAAAAAAATTATAAAATCCCTTTAACTCAAATATGCCATTCCTGTTGAAATTGTAAATTTTGTTCAGATGTGATGATGATGATATACGATTGAAGAGGCAGACAGATATCATTTATAATTATATTCACATCTAATATAATATAGAATATTAAATTAAAATTTGAATGATTTCCAATTGTCGAGATATATTTCACGTCCACAACCTGTAGCACACAGAGCCCGGGGGACTAGTCATTTACGAATGACAAGACGCGTTTTCCGTGTCGGTTTGCCTATCTGTAAGAAATTGATATATATTGTTTTAGAAGAATACGGTGTTTTTTCAGGCGATATCAAATTTTATCTATTCTGGGACTATAATTATTGAAATAGGTTTACGTTGACATTCGATCAAATGTCATGCTGCTTTGAACTTTTCACGCTACGAACCAACCAGTATGTAATGATGGTTGATCTCAAAATTGTTATTACCTTTGACGTCATAATATCATAAAATGAGTAGGTTAATGACGCCCCGGAGCTGATGACAGTCTAACTCGTTGCGGTAGTTTTTGGTGCATTATATGACAATCGAACGCTGGATTTTGATTCGGAAAAATGATAGGTATAACTGAAATTTTTAGACGCGTGCATCCCTTTAAACCTCTGGAGCCATACCTCTAAGTATGAATTGAATACGCTATTGTTATTAGGTCAACGAATCCACCGGTCAAGTTTAAGCTGGTGTTATCTGAAATCGATTTATTATTTCTAGTAATCGTAACCAAAACACATTTAACGAGAAACATGTAACGATAGAGGGTTTTCAAATGGTAAAAGTATAAGAATATATTGGGGTGTATATGAGATGATACGATTATGTGGATAAATCTGGTCTAAATAATCTACTGAAAGGAACATTAATGTATTATATTGTCCAAATTAAACGTAACTGCGACCCGTACGATGAAAACCCTTTGATGTAATGATGATAGTGAAAAACTGTAATATTATTATATATTCACGCATCTGAAAATGATGCGTTTTGTATCCGGGCATTACACTATTTCATACCCTTTTAATTCACTCTTTATCAAATATAACAAGTTATATGAAAGGGAACCCTCATTGATAGAGGCAGGGGATCGGGTGTACCGATACCATACCCACAGCAGTAATTATGAAGGAGGAAACAATAGTTAATACAGCTGGGAATAGTCGAAACCCGAACGCATTGAGTGTGAAACCTATGATGTAATGATACTGGATATTCAAAGAGAAAAAAAGTGGTATTAAGTAGTTAAAAATGATAAGATACTGTAGTAGTTACCCGGTTCAAATAATCATTAGAATCACATCTAATTATACGTTTCCTGACAAATTATCAAGTGTTGCAAAGTGTCTTTAAGAGTTTTTGTTTAATTGTGGATCTTAATTAAGAAAGATATAAAATAGCATATCCTCTTTACTGCATGTTTCATATTTATCATTGCCTTATATATCAGTAATTAGAGACTACTATTGTAACACTGTGGGTAGACGTGACATGTATTCGTGGAAGATTTCTAGAAAAACTACTAAATGGTCGAAACAGGTCAGAAAATAGGTATCTCTTCAGATTGGGACTAGTCAGTGGGTGTGTTTCTGCTGAACTATTGTCTACGTTTTGATTTTTTTTCTTTTGAATGCTGATATGCATAAGTTTTTAAACAATGCGGTGTTCTTTGGCGAATTTGGTTTTTTAGAAATAGATAGATGAGATATTGTTTGTGATGGCATAATATGTTGCCTAATTTTGCGAATGATAGGTTTCGATATATGTATTTAGTAAATGCTTAATTTGATTGCTTTATCTTTACAGAACGCCTGTGAACCTCCCAGAAAGATTGACCAAAGTTCGGCAGCAGAATTAAAGAAACAAAGAAAATTGAAAACAGCTGATGAGAGTGACGAGAGTTTGACAAAAAATAAAAACGATTCTGAAATAAAAAGTGCTTCTAAAACGCCGTTTGATTTTGAATCAGATGGATCTAAGGTTGACTCGGATTCCAGTGAGCCGCATTCCCCTGGTAGTTCTGTGAGTGAGGAACTTTTATCAACACTAGCTCCTAAAGCCACATCTTTAAATGATCATATAGAAGAAACGCAAACGGCAAAAAGTGAGCCGACTGAAGATCACGATTCCGATTCAGATTGTGACCAACCTTTACAAATTGTGGACGAACCGGAGACTAAACAGGGATCACTTGATTTAGATACAGACTTTAGTACTAAAGTTAGTAACTCTGACGTTGAACGTGAAGCACCTGTTTGTGAAAACAGTGACGCCGAAGATGATTCTAATGATGACGTAGATGACGTTGCAGACGACCAGTCATCGGATACAACAGACGATACACCGTTATCACTGCTGAAAACATCTTTAAAACAGGAGGAGGATAAATCACGTGATGAATCTCCACAACAAACTGTACAAGGTATTACTGTAAAGGATGAAAAGAAAGAGCCCATTGATTCAAGATCTGAACAACTACCAGTAGATTTCAAAGAGAAGGTTATTCTACGTTCTCCAGAAAAGCCACACGGGTATGTGTATTATATTATATCACTAAATCTTTTTTTTTCAAAGCCAATTAGTCCTATTTATTATTTAAAGGATGGTGTAAATATTAATAGGTTACAATGTAGGCGGAACCTAATGTATTATGCATAGCTGGAAGAGCAGCATCTTGGATGTGACCCTTACCTACTATATTTAAGTCATGACTTGGTTAGCTGTTGAAAATTTTAAATGAGTTGTAATGTCCTCCTCCAGAGCATATTATTTCAATGCCTTGCAATTTAGTAGTCAAGGTGTCAGAGCACAAATGGAAGATCGTGAAATTTGAATCAAATGATAAAAGCTTCGTGTTCTGACGATTGATTTTTGGAGACAATTAATAACCCATTTAGTAATATTATATAAGAATTTTACGAGCGTTATAAAATTGGGTATATAAATTAATATTATCAATGTCTATAGTGAATTGATCATTCAGGGACCATTAACATCTTAGATGATATAACAAAAATAAACAACCACCAATATCGTCTTAAAGGAAATTTCAAGTCTGATATAATTTTTTATGGCATCATAAACCATTGTAGATATTTGACTCGCCAATTCCGATATTGCTTGTAAGAAATCCTGTGCTACAAAGGAGTCTTCATCGGGTCGCCTAATCGTTATATCAATAAATACAAATATGAAAATTTTAAATTACTAATAATTCTATGGCAAAGAAATCAAGAAAAATTCTTTCTTGTGACCTTTAAACCGAAAAAGGGAGCAGCTAAGTATTGGTATTCCCTTATAACATAAAATAACAAAGCAAATTAATTAGTGAATACAAAAGGAAATTTATGGTTGATTCCCGGAGACAGTATGATACAGACATGTATAACTACTGTCTTCAGTCCATATGCTTCTATTTATTCAATATTCAATCTACACCAGATCATGGCTTTCTCTATATACGACTTGTTGACATTGATAATAAGCAGTCATATGACATTGACAAGACTTGTCTATACAAATTGACATATTTTTAGATTCTATCTGTCTTTCTCCATTGTCTGGTTTGTCCGTTCTCAGACACTTCCGTTGGAAACAAAGAATATGAAAATCAGATTTATCAAATAAATACAATTGGGGATGTTCAAGGAATAAAGGAAATTGCAGTACCGCATCTGACCAAGATTGGGATGGTCCAAAAGTGGCAAAGTGCAATCCTTTTTTAATACATTGGTAATAACATGGTCACCTTTAAGTATAGATTCTTTACTATGTTGACTTTAAACTAGAATTCATAGCTCAAACATGATAACTTGAAAAATATACATCACAAACTAACTAGCTCATAAATTGCACCGAAAAAGATAAAATGTTTATAATATACATCTAATAGGACTCCAATATAACATGGACAGCCCACTTAATACGGAGATTTGTCATAAGTCATTTTTGCCATCATTCGATTGATAAAAGAACAAATAAAGTCATGATATTGATGTTATATGAGTGTGTCACCGTGCACAGGTGGGCCATCAATTTTTCTTCTATAACATTAGTTTATGTGAATGATATTTATATTATATCTCTTGTTATTGTAAGCGTGAATCTGGTGGTTGTATTCTTTCAGACAACACCGCGAAGCCCGGTTGAGTAACATTATTAATAATTTAAGAAGCTCGAAAGAAAAATCAGCACCAGTTACCAGTCAGCAGAGGACAATGAACGACACTGTTTTTCCTACTACACAGCTTCTAACAACTACACCGACATTAAATACAGATAGAAATTCACCAGATGAAACAAAAGACGAAGCTCTAACTGCTAAAGATTTAGAAATGGGTGAAATCAGGCGGAATTCTACTTCTGGGACTGGTATTGATTCGGTTCCAATGACGCCATCGACTGTACCTCAGCCAATAGGTGAGTTTAATGTCTTCTTACAGCTTTGTGAGTGTTTGTATCGACAGCGCGTGTCTATTATATCAATGATTGATTGCTATAAAAAGGTGATGGTCCTGTCTTTTATTAACGTTCAGGTGTCGTATCCCTAACCTTGCCATCCTCACTAACCTTTTTCGAATTTCTATCTTCTGCTTGGTATTGAATAGGTTGATTCGCGTGGCGTTTCTATTCAGATTGTAATAAGAGGTGTTAAGAAGAGATATCGATTCTATATGATACAATATACCGTCTTTAAATATTAGACTCGCACCTGTCACCTGACTGGCAAATAAATCTATTGATTACACATACAAACTTTATAATTCTTCCCCTTTTATCTCTCTGTATTCTCGTATTTATATCTTTTCATATTTTTATAGTTCCACCACCATATTTTGGAGTTCCGTTTGATCCCCAGTATCCAATGTTAGGATTAAGTCTTCAACATCTGTTCGCCCAGAATCTGGCTAATTCATATGGTATGAATGGAGTATCACTACCCCCGAATACCAGCTATCCTGATTTACATTCACGAAGTAAACAAACTCTGAAATCGCCGGCAGCTACGATGACAAAAGAGGAATATGACAAACAGAAAAGTACATCACCGACGTCACCAAGTAATCAGCAACCTAGATTTACTTCTAGCCCTGTAGGCTCAACAAGTTCCAAAGGTTCCGCCCAGTCGTTATCCTCGCCTACATTATCAGCCGAGAAAGCTGCAGTAATGGCGAAATTAACAGAGAAACTAGCCAAGATTAGTGAGAAACCGCCTGAGGTGATAGATAAGACTGTAAAAAGTGTTATCAAACGAGCGAAAAGAATGCAGCAATTTGAGAAACTGCAGGCTAAATTGAAGAAGAGTGATTTTGTGAGTCCGATAGCTGGTAAATCTAACAAGGAATATTATAGAGACAGAAGTCCGGAAAGACAACCACAAAGATATGGTGACCCTGATATCAGACGTGATAAGAAACAGTAAGTTGAAATCATTACTTATATCATTATACTTATGCTATCAAGATAGTTAAAAACATGTACGAATGAATGTATTTAAGCTCTTTCACGTTTTTTGGAACATGATATCGCTCTGTAATTGCGTTTGTCGAATCAGCATCTTGGCTTTGGTAAAAAAAATAGATATTATATTGAATGTTAATTGATATTTAATACTGCATACTAACTATCCGTAAGTAATACAGCTTATCAGGAAGACGCTCTTTAGCTTTAATTAATGTGTTATATTAATATTGGATCATCTTGTGAATATGACAGACAGACATTTTAAAAAAGAGAAATTATTATTATATGCGTCATCGTACTTCATCGGAAGTACAGAGATACCTAATCCGACGTTCTAAAAGACTAACAAAAACATATCAAAAGACAGTTCGTTGACTTGCGATGTTGTAAGAACTACATATTACGTGGAATGGTATCTCTATTAAACAACAGGATGCCGATTCCATACCTACTAATAGAAACTATTATACCACCTCTTCTTACATCAATAATGAACATCCGGCGAGAGAAGATTCTGCTATAAACGGAGACAACTTTATCCCGGTTGAAAGAAAAGACTCAAAATAGATCTGACTAGACTGTGATATCCTCATATACTTTGTAAAGGATTAGTCCCACGCAAATATTTATTGCATCTTATGCTAAATGTATATTTATTTTTCTTGGGTTTGATAGCTACAATGACAGCCGTTTAAAATTAAATCGCAGTGGACGTTGACCTTTCGAATTCTTTCATTGAATTAAATCTGTGTACTTGTGTTGGTTTACTTTGACAATTAAAAATCAAATTCCACTAACACAAAATAGGTCTGTGATTCCTCATTGCAAGATAATATGCAATTTGATAAAATAATAACAAGGATGATGATTGAAGCAGCCTCAACCTGTCGGACCCTTCTCTTTGTCTTATCAAGCTCGATTTAATGCTCAATCGCATTTGAGATAATATAACCACAGGTTTTGATGTACCTCTATCTCTTTCTTTTCAGGTTAACAACCAATCCACCACCAGCACATCAACATTCTAAATTATCCAGTAACACACCACCCATGTTACCTAGCCCTGGTTTACCATTTGGTTATCCAGTCTCACCAGAAATGATTGCAAGCATGCCACATTTACCATTTCCCCTACCATCGTTACAGATGTGGCAGAGTTGTTTCCCCTTTACCATGCCTCCACCAGGCCTAGAAACAACGCGGTTTACTCAATTCTTTCATAACCTGAATAATGGATTTATGGGAAATGCTGCATTAAAGAGATCATTGGAAGAATCCGTTGTGGACTTGAGTTCTAAGAAACAGAGATTATCATACAGTGACTCCTATCAGGACAGTAAAAGTGAACTTTTAGTGACCAGTTTACAGACAATGCCTCGTATGAACAGTGTTCCTCACCTTGCCTCTAGTCCCAATAATAGTTCCAGATCCCCAGAAAGCAATTCATCGTCGCCTTTTTTATCCAATGGCCCCCAGTTAAACTCTAGAAACGGTTCACCTGTATTTTCTTCTGTTTCGAGTTTAACTGGACAAGGGTCTATGAAAATTGATGAAAATGACAATTCTATCGAGGATGCCCATGAAGTGAATTATCGAGGCCATAAGTTAAATGGATCATGGTCGGACTCTGAACGTAGTAAAACGTCTACTGAGTGTACATGTGATTATAAAAATATTGACGATATCAGATCGTGGAGTACTGAGGACGTGTGTAGATTTATGAAAAGACTTGATGGTTGTTCACCATATATTGATGTAAGTAGTCATTGTCATTATAGCAAATGTGAACAGACATTAGCTCTTCTATTAACTTCTGGCTAGAGTAGCAGAGTAACTCAGAACGAAAATTATTATCCAATTAGTAATAGTGTTGTAATCTGGAGAACACCTGAAGGCTACAAACCTAAATGTTGATCTTACCACCCATTTTTGTTAAGTTTGGTGACGACCGACACATTATTTGGACACGTTGTCAGGAGAGTCTTCGAAATTATTTGTCAACAGATCTCAGGATTCTCAGATCAATCTGCAATAGTGATTGACTAAAATGACTATTTTCTTTTTCATTTCAGACATTCCGTAGAGCTGGTGTAGATGGTAGTAGCTTACCATTGTTAACTACTGATAGTTTAACTAAATCATTGGGAATGAAGCTAGGACCAGCATTAGTATTAACAGGAGCTGTAGCCAGAAAAGCCCGGGAAATCAGTAAAATAGTGCCATGTTCTTATTGTAGGAAGAAAATTCAACGAGGATAACTCCTACGTTGAAGAGGGCTTCTCTAAGAGAGCATCGTCGAATCTTAACGTGTTTCCAAACATTATTCCTTGGATTAGATGTGTATTATATAAAGTATTTAAATTGATTGGAAACGACAATCTTAATCGCTAGAAAAATTTAGAATTGTGTTGAAATTAAGTGCAGATGTTTCCGAGTTTTGTGACGACCTATCTAGTGGACCAATTAACTCGAATATGGATAATTAAATATTTAATTAACTGTTTGTAATATAAACCTTCACTCTTTATACAGTATTATAGTTCTTTATTTTTATTTATATGGTGTGGTAGCTCTTTTCAATCAAATTTAAATATGAGCGAAATTAATGTGAATATTATAGACACGACATAAACAAAGTTTGTAGTTAAATTTGTCTTTTGCAACTGTCCAAGCAACAAACGTGAGAAGTAACATTGCAGCGAGGCTCATGTTTTTGTAAATGAAACTGGAAGAGACATTTTTGAGTTAATTTTTTGTGAATCGAGCTACCATATAAAGTAGATGTTCAGTTTAGGAATATTTTCCGTCCTCTGTATTTTATCCTTGTATCTTAGTTTTGAATTAGTTTAACATAGACACTATGCAATGATATAGATACAGATAGTCGAACTGTTAACCACTGTAGATTGTTTGATGGTAGAATTATATATATCGGATACAAATTTCACCACCAGGAAAGTCGGTTCGGAAACTAAGTCAAATATACAACATTTTGAATCTGGTTCTGTGGCTGATGCAACTTTGCTGATTAAAATATTGAAGATCTTGTTTTAGAGTGTGTGATCGTAATCTGCACTGCATTCGCTACTGCTTTCATCGCCCTCTATTTACTACCCTAAGTCCAATTAAAATCTGAATGAAAAAAGGCATAGCCTACGTTGTGTCCATTGCACGCCTATTCAAGAAAAGTGCATAACTATCTCTCCCAACTACAGTAATAGTATAGTAGAAAACATAGCCTATAGAACATATTTATTCTGTATATAAAAAATGATAATAAGATACTAACAAAGCAATACGATTGATTCGTTTTGCAGCAAATGAAAGTTTGTATATATTAAGAACGATCTGTCGTAATGGTCTCGAGTCCTTTAAGCATTCCCGTACATGATGGCATGCAATTTTAAACCACAAAGCTGAACAATATAACGAAATCTGCTCGATCATATTACATACATTCTGTGTCATTTTTAGGACCATGATAATCTGATTTTCCTAACAGTCTTGCTTTTGCCTTCACTAAAACAAAGGTACAAAAACGAAAACAACATACGCAGTATGGATTTGTATCATCAGATCTACAAGTGTAGAGTCTCTGATTGCATTCGACCGCTTTTGATAACCATATCTATTGACCACAAGCCCCAATTGTTAATAAATTGTTGATTGTAGCAAAACTTATCATTTTATTGAAGCAAGTTACTTAAGTAGAATGTGATTATTTATTTCAGCTTCAATAGTACATGGTCAATTGAAACATTGTAGTATTGTTTTCTTAGAAACTGCCTTTAGTACCCATAACATTAGGTGTTTTTAATAATATAATTAGTTATCAGAATTATTTATCTGAACATCTTAAACGCCTATGGTTCACTGAAGTAGTATCAATGAAAAGATTGAAGTATTTATCTTAGTCCCTAAAAAGAGCCGGAGTAGAAATCAATAAATGATAGAATGAAATGCCCGGCCTGTCAATTAGAAGCTTTTAGACAGATAATAAATGATAATAGAAGAAAGAAGAGTATAATCTATTTACACTGTAATTGTTATTTATGTTGACTGTACATCCATTATTGGTAGTACTCAATAAATTAACCTTTTAATAAATACAATCATCCTTATCCATGGTCTAGTCTTTTTTTTAAACTCCCGCTTCCTCGAAAATAAAAATATTCAACGGCTGGTTTGGGGACCTTTTTTCTCAAAAACTGGAATTTTTGGCAATCCTGTGATCGGATTGTAATTCAAACTCATTGAATTGGTTAACAAATCAGCTGAAGAAAATGTCACATTTATTTACTTTTTGTAGTATTTGTGAATAGGGTCCTTGACTATTTAGCTATGGAACCACAAAGCTGTTAGCATTGTGTAGTCAACTACTATTTTATTCTGTGTATGTATCTTTCATGAGCTCACTCTGTTTCTCAGTTGATGAAAATGTCACAGGACAACGACAATGTTCAGAACCGAATTTTACTCAATACTGGTTTAACATTCAGTGGTTATATAATATGCAATATGAATGTATCAGGCAATGATGCGGAATAGGATTTCCTTCAGTTATATCTCTCTATGGAATGTTAAATATGTCAATAAATTTCTTCCTAAGCTGTTTTCCGTATCAGAAGTGTGAATATCGGATCTGTGCACTCTACATATTAATACCGCACAATGCTCTATATTATTTATGAACATACCCATATCTAGTATTAAGTTTCTACAATAAAACATGGGTTATTATATAGTTTATTTATTTCTACGGAAATGACTTAGAGTTTTATGACTGATATTATTATGGGAATCGTAAAAATGAGTCGTGGTTGATTTATTGTATTTATGAGAATGTCGTACATGTTCGATAACATATTTGATGATTTGATCAGATTTATATCTGCAGATCTCAGCAATTTTCTTACTTTGCTCGCATGAAATCAAATTTTGAAAAGTTAACCACTGTTTCCAATAAACTTGTCCCGACGAGGAATATTTATCAGAAACACGTGTTGCTAGCATGGGATGTGTTCTACTGAATTCGAGGAATCTAGATAGGCATTAATAAATTAATGCATATTGCGTTTGTTCTAATTTGTATGAATATATCACACGGAATTGGCCGCCCTGCTTTGATTTAAAAAAAAGATGGCCCTTTGCTGCGATAGCGAACATGACCCTTTTTTCATTTCAGGCATATCTTTTACAATATTCTACAATGTATATTGCCTTAAATTGGACAATAATGGCATCCTGGGAAGTTTGAGTTTGGCTGGCGTTTCTCAAGGGAATAATCACACAAGGTGAAGACGCTTCTAGTGAACGTTCTCGTGATAAAATAATGTGACTATGTGAATTGGCAAGTTGACCAGCTGACGGTATAACGTGCTCGGATTGTTTTAGGCGGCTCATCTATACACAATTTAATAAATCGAATGAGATACTGTAGAACGCAGGATTAACGATTTCTAGCCTTTATCTTAACACAAGTTATCAATATCACTAACATTAATAAATTAACATGGTCAAAATAGGTCAGTTTATTACTGTGAACTTCGTCGATGCTTAATATACATGGACACACTAACTTTTATATGGATATTATAGTATCCAAATAAAGTAAGCACAACTACTCTGTTCTACTACAAACTTTTGCTAATGATGTCTGGTACGTTTAGATAACCATTGGAGGTGGCCTCCATTAATGTATAAGAGCTGCAATGTCTCTCAATTGATATCCAACGGAATTCGATATCTCATCAGAAATACAGACCCTCCCAGCAATGTTAAAGAGATAGAAAGGGGAAGTACAAGGTGTTCCAACTGGATAACAAACTATTGCATCATACGTTGCTCAATTAATATCTCAGGACCGTCGAAACAGCTGCAACGAAAATTTGTAGTCCGTGTATTTAACAGAATAACAATACTATTATTATTGTTGGATTCTGTGGTATTGGGACGTCATTGGTTCACATCATTTATAGATAGCGTACTAATATGAATACATGAATATAGAACTGAGTAAACCGATTCAACTGTATAATAAAAGACTTAAGAAGAGTTAAAACAATACTAATATTTGTATATAATTTTTACCAGATGTCTATTGTACATCCATTATATAGTCACTTTACCATTATTATTACTAGTTTATCATACAAACACCATTAGTGATAGTTCGAAATATCACTACTTAATAGAAATTCTAGAACGCACTTAAAGATCCCATTGACTTGGCTTTGCATTCCGTATTCAATATTCTTGGAAAATCTGAAAGATGAGAATGTCTGAAGAAGAACACTATTTCAGTTATTTTAACAATAGCAGTTGTAGCATGATTTCTGTAATCAATTTAAGGATTATGTGTGTTGTAATTTAGCTATAGTGGCCAGTCATGCAATTGTAATGGTTTCAAAATCCATCAAAATACACCAGATCTAAGATAATCTTTTAGTTCAATGCATATATCTGATTTTTTTCACCAAATCGGCACGACAACATTTTTCTTTTGGACGTTATTTGGGTCTGTTGGAGTGTATCGGATTATAACTAGACTGTCCTGTGGGAGAAGAGTAGGACGGTGTTGACAGTGATATTGTAAGGGTAAAACAAATAACAACTAGGTATAGAATACCAGGGTATTGTATGGAACTCAGATGGTAACAATCAGGTTACTTACGTATGGTTACCACGTGTTTGTCTAGATACAGGTTGTCAAACAAAGCTAAGACAACTCTAATCTCAGTTTTTATACCTTTACAGAGAAGCCATATATTCATAAAAACTACATAATATATAATTTATTACAAACATGTAATCAATAAAATTGATATGTTCTGTCGTAAATACCACGTGGATGTATCATCAAACATTATACTCAACCACAAAACTTTTTATTATCTTATCTAGATGAATATTTTAGCTTATGTCAATTCGACAATTGAATTATTATAGGCAATTTCTGGACAGTTCTTTCAATGTCGCATACATTGGTCTGGCATTTGGTGGAGAAATTGAACTACGGCTGACGCTCGTTGTTTTCTATTAATGTTTACCTGGACATTGATAGCATCAATTTGCACCATTCCAAATTTCAGTGAAACAGTTGTGGATCTTACCATTTCAATAAAGCGGATTATGCAGCTTCCTCTATCAAAGGATATTATTACGATAGCAGGTTATGAGATACAGTGGCGTTTCTACAGAGGAGGAGGTGGGAATGGGAGGAATACCCCCCCCCCCCCTTAAATTTATACCCTGGAAAATGTTGTTCGGCTCCCACATCTGATGTTTTCTAGAAACGCCACTGATGCGATAGCGACCTGGTATACTGCTAAGCATTTTGTAATAACAGGAACCACAGACATCTGACGGAAAATTGAATTAATGCACAATAAAAGCCATAAATGACTCCAAAACACATAAAAAATCTAGAAAACCTCTTCACAAGCCCTGTAAAGAGCTCGTATTTAACGAGCTTATGACGCCAAGTGTAAAAAGATTCGTCTTTACCGGAAATACCGGAAGTATCCCAGAGACAAGGAATACGTGTACATCTAGTATACAACTTACAAATGGACGACATCTTGTCATTTGTGTGAATCATATATATTGACTTATTGTCACGTTTCTGTATTTATTATTATCATATGGTCTATTTCGAGCAGTAGTAAATCTTGTATACATATCACTGGCAAAAATTTCTCTTAAATTTACCTACAGTCAACATTTTTTAAGCATATTACACCCACCCCCTTTTTTATTACACCGAATTATGTAATAGATTTACGAGCACCCTACGCCCAACATGTAGATATCGGTAGCGAATATCTCTGAAAACAAATCATTCAAAGAGTTCTATTAAAATCAAGCCATTATTCACTGTGTATTTATTTCTCTAGGTTATTTGACTCTGATTGACAATTTGCGTGAATCAGCTCACCCAACTTCTTGAAAGCCTCACGAAGATAACAATTAGAGAGAAATAATCATTAAACTTCAATTAAACACTAAATCAGAAAAAACTAGCTCACAGAATAAGACAATGTTTATTGTCCCAGATTTTATGGATCTCCTTTATAGAACTCTTCAATACCGACTGATAGCAAAACGAAATCTGCTCATTAAAATCTCTTCTATAATATTTTTTACCTGTCAGTTCCAATGGAATTAAATTGATAGGCTATAGGTGATATGCAGAATTTGATATAGAGACGTTTGATTTAAACCAATTGCAAACATGAAAGAGTATGTATTCAGTATTGATATACACAATACTAGTGTTACCTAGTGACACAGTGGTCACGAAGTATTATAGCAGTAATTGGAATAAAATTTTATAGCGGTAGTTTTGACGGTAAATAAGCACTGTGATCGAATACTCTACAAACAAATGTTCCCATGAGTGGAGCTTTTTAGTTTCAAACACCTTAATTGAATATAGGTTCAGCTTAAGATACTCTCATTCATGAAAATAATCACTAAAAATAGTGCATGTGTGGAGTTGGTATAAAATCTGTACCGACAGTGTCGGCTACCCTTTAAAAAATGTTTGGTACACCCAAATGCACTCCACATTATTTCTAACCAATTGAAAAATATTATGCGTAAATATTCGTCAGAAGGCACAATTCAATTCTATTTTTCAAAAACGTGTTGCGCCTATGGTGCTTCTACTGAGCTGTCACATATTAAATATCAATATTGACATTAAGTCAGTCTGCTCCCTATTTGTACCCCAAGTCTCGTTGGGACTGGCGCTACAACTGCAAACCGGCCCGAGTTGAAATATAGCACGAAAAGGGATTACTGAAATTAAGGTTTTTAAATTATACAATGAACCGATTCTTTTAAAATTAAATCATATTGTCATGGTTTCATTTTCCGAAAATCCGAAGTCGTTGCGTTGTACTTCAATTTTGTAATCACATATATATTGTATGCTGTCCTCTATGGTACGTAGATACAATAAAATATCTTATCTTATCTTATCAATAGTAATGCACATTTTAGAGCCATATTGCACTTCCGGTTTGTGCAGTTGATCGGTTAGATTTTTGTACGAACCCCGCATTTTAAGCAAAGTAGCTGCAGTTACCCACACCATACAGCTGTAATATTACACTTACAT